CACCCCTGCCCTAGTGCTACTCCATTGTTTCCTGTTATTTTTCTCTATGGTGCTTTTCACAGTTTCAGACTAACTCATCTATCTATCTATCTATCTATCTATCTATCTATCTATCTATCTATCATCTATCATCCATCCATCCATTAATCTATACATCCACCAGCCCACTCACTCACCCGTCCATCCTTCCTTCCATTCATCTTACTATCTAGCCATTCATCCATCTATCATCCATCCCATTAGCTAAGCTATATCTATCTTGTCTGCCTCTTTCCTCTAAATTTAAATAGGACAGACATTTTCATGTTTTTTCCTCAATGCTGTATCCATAGCACCTAGATGTGCCTATCACTTAATACTCAATAAATATCAAACGGCTTAATGAATATTACTATTATTGTTGTTACCATTATCCTTTAAGTTGGAGCTCTGTGACAGCAATCTAATACTTAGTTCAGAGTCACTAAACTCATGCACTAACCTGAGAGCTAGATAAAGTAATTTCTACCTATTAACATCTTATTAAGGTAATTATACAGTTTTTTTTCCTGCATCTGGATTAGTGGGATAGCTACCTCAGTGGGGTACCATCAAACCCAACTCCTGATATGAAGCACCCAGGCAGTCACAGAGACAATGCTGAGTGCCCCTTTGGGAATTGCCCTTGGCTGATGAGAGTTGCTTTGTCCAAAGTCATGACTGCTTCCTAAAGGCAACTCACATCCAGTGATTTGTAGATGTGGTGAAGTGCTGAAACACTTGTCCCAGCTTAGGACAACTCTGAAGAACAATCCCAGATCCCTGAGAGGTTGGCTAAAGCCCTGGTTACTAGTGAATCTCAGCCCATCTTCTTCTGCCCAGTCCTGCTTTCTTCACTCCCAGAAATGTATTAATCCTGAGAGCTCTCCCCATAAATTTTCTGTGTGTAAATCCTTATCTCAAAACCTGCTTCCCACTGACCTTTTATCACTACTTACCAAAATTTCTATTCTTTGCATGTGCAAGTGCCCACATTTTACATTACATACAGGCCCCATGATGTGATTTCTTAAAGGCAATGCTTCTTTCCAATGTGATGAATACGATGGCTCTCCACTTGAGGTTAGCTTACTTTGCTCATCCAGCAAATAAATGCTGAGTGCCTGCTGTGTGCCCAGCACTGTGCTGGACTTGCTAAATGGAGAAGTTAAATCTATCTCTTGGTTCTCCACCATGGTCTGCATTTTGCTGTGACTGAAAAGGTTATAGTCTATTCCCTTCCACAGTTTGGGAAAAGTCACTAAGAGCCAAGTTAAAATGTATGTTTCCATTAGGCATAATTATCTATTCCGTACTGTTTTCTGTATACCCCTCCTCAGGCTGGCTCAGGAGTATGATTCTGTCTAAATATACACTTATATCATCCAACTTAAAAACAAGTTGGATTATTCTATGAATCTTTTTCATGTTTTTATTTGTCCAACATGTCTTGGAGGTTTGTCCGTGTTCATTCAGTCAGGTCTCCCCAATTCTTTTATAAGACTCAACAGTGAGGCTGCATGGTTCTCATTAATTCATCACACTCATTTAATCACTCAACAAATATTTACCAAGTGCTTCCAAAGCCATCATGCCTTTTTAGCTTTGAATAACACCAGTGATGTTCTACCTGCAAGGAGATAAGATTCTAGTGGGAAAGTCAGAAAGTAAACAAGAATGCAAATAGAAGGATCTTTTCAGACAGGAAGAAATGTGAAGAAATAAGAATAAGATTATGGAGAGTGAGGCTGAAAAAAACTCACCAAAACTGGCTGGTCAGAGAAAGACTTTCTCAGGAAGTGACCTTAAAGCTGAGTCCAGCGGTGGAACAAGACAAAAACAGGAAAATCAGGGCCTAGCCACTCCACGCGGGAACTACAGCCTGTGTCAGTGATATGAGACAGCAGTAACTGAGGCTTCTTCAAGGACTGAATAAAAGCCAGCAAAGTGTAAATGTGTTTATTGAGGGGGTTGAGTCTAAAATACAGCCTCGCCTCTGACAGACACATCTCAAAGGATTTCCTATTTCTGAAAAATACAACTTCAAATTGCTCATTTGTTCAAAAATATTTATTAAGCATTTACCACGTGTGAAAGATAAAAGGATAAGCAAGCAAAGGTAACATAACATCTGCCCTCATTGAGTTTATGGCCAACGAGGAGACAGAAACTCTAAAAAGAAATAATTTAATTCAGCACAATAGGTATTTGATAACCTAACACTCTTTGGAGCATTACATTTGTACATGGTAAAATCCGGCTGCTTAATATTACTCTCTTCCTCACTGAGGCTCGAATGGTCATACTCCATAAAAATATATAATGTCATCTGCAGGAGCTCATTGTTCTTTGAATTTATTTTAACCACATGCCTAATTTTCATTAATCACCATAGCACATAATTTGTTAGATGGTCTCTGGAAATTCTCACGAATATGGTGATACAGTCCTAAATAAAATGTTTTCCTTCCCTCCTTCCTTGAGTTCTAGAAAAATGGCTTCTTTGAAGATGTCAGTGGCTGCTTGGCATTCAGGCATTCTCATTTAACTCCACAGGTTCTTCAGCTGCCTCACCAATGCAAAAGGTCTTATTTCCATCCATTTTTAAACATTGTTTATTGCTGTATTATAACCATTAAAAAGGGTTTAGCAATCTAGCTCCTATTTTCCCTCAATTCCATTACTAACATTGTTTTTTAGGGGTATTTCTTGGAATTCCATCATGTTGCCTGGTGTCCCCAACTGCCCAAGAAGTTAAAGATGATTTTATCTGGCAGACAACAGACAGGTTGGAATGAGTGGGGCTTCAGAGTCAGGTTTTCCTGAGTTTGTAATCTTGTGTGTGTACTAGGTGTGTGGCTTTAGGCAAAGCACAAATGCTATCTGAGCCTTCTTTCCTGATTTGCAAAATGGGCTTAGGGCTAGAACTGGGGTGAGGTGAGTGAAGCATTTGCTTTAAGTGCACAGTGTAAGGGGGCACCAAATAACTCTGTAGTCAAGATTTTAAAAATATCGTAATGCAGTAGTTAATAAAATTCCAAGTTAGTGCAAAGAATCCACAATGAAAAAATCAAAATTTTAAATAAAGGTGGGATCTGACAGGACCAGGATTAGGGTGAGGTGAGAGTCTGAGTTGTACAAATGTAGGGTGCCCCCTTAAATTTTGTACCTGGATCATGTGCCTCACTGACTCACACTAGCTAGCCCTGGCCCTAATCTGCCTGATAACATTACATGATAAATCTGTTATAAAAATACATTTTGACAATTGAAGTAAGGAATCTTACACAATGACTTGTATCCACCTAAGATATTTCTCTTCCCCACTTCCCATCTCTGACATCCTAATCTACCTCTACAGATGATGCAAGATGGACCAAAGTGAGCCTTCCACTCACTGAGTATTTATCAGTGCTACCTACAACTCATCAACCCTTCTAAGTCCTAGAACATTGGTCTAGCTAACTGTGAGATGTTCCTAAGTGGTTTTCTTTCATATGGATCTCTCTCCCTCTCTCTCTCAGCACAGTGCTGGCAGCCTATTTATTTACTCTCTGCAACAAAACCACTGCAGCCCTTGGCTAGGATGCTCTCTGGCTCCATGACACTTACCCAGACATCGCCTAGCTCTATGACTTGAAACTTCCCATTGGCCTCTCTCCTTTGCACAAGCTGAGGCATCATGCACACTCATCACCTCAAATCTTGTGCCAAAGCTTGCTTTATGCACGCAGCTTCAGATCCATTGGCTGTTTGGGCAAGAGGCCTAATGTGGACTCCTAAGTATCTTCCTGGCACCAATTCTCTACCTCGTGCTGTGGCCAAAATCCTCCACCTACACAGTGTTCTCTGTATTCACTAGTGCAGAAAGTGAAGGTTTTTCTTAGTTTCCAAGAATCTACTTATGCTCCTTCACAGTCATACAGCCTCAACCAGAGCTGCTGACTTACTGACATGTAATGACCTCAACTTGGGGGTGCAAGGGGCTGACCAAACCTGTGGAATGGGCAGGTTGGGGTGCCAGGCTAACATGATGCTATTCCATGGAAGGAGGTCCAGGAAAAACAATGTCAGTGATGGATTTGGAGAGAAATAGAAGAAAGTAAGATTGCTGAGCCCTTTTCAGTGGAAAAGCTCAAAAGTTATTAATGCACCAAAATGGTAAAAATGGGAATTGTAAGAAAATTCCATTTATGAACTGGACAATAGCTAAAGAATCTACTGAGTTAACTGAGAATTTCTGAATACCAAGTGGTCAATGACAGCTTAAGAGAAGCCATTTTTCTAGGACAGGGTCAGGGAAGTGGGAAAGGAAGACATCTTATTTAGGACCCTACTGCAGTATGAACAGGAGCCTCTTTCGATACAAAATCTAATGATGATTTATAAGGGTGATTAATGGGAATTAATAATGTGGTTAAAACCCTCCATCCACCCCCGGGGCTCAAGAGTTCTTCTGAAGTCCTCAAATCCACTTCAAGAAGCTTTGGCTTAAGTACTTTGGGGATATGGAAGGATTTGACAAGACCATCACTCCAGAAAAAAGCACTTGGAAATTGTGTGTGTGTGTGTGTGTGTGTGTGTGTGTGTGTGTGTGTATGCGATGTATCTATCTTTTGTCGAGGTCTGTGTCTATGAAAAAATCTATGTTTTCACTGTGCCAGGCTTGACCCCAAGGCATTCTATGGCAGAAAATCAAGGATTAGGGCTATATTGAAGTGCTAAGGTTTTGGTTCTCAAGTCAGACTAAGTTTGAATCCTAGTGTCACCACAATCCCTTGACCTTGTACAAAATGTAAGAATGGTAATACACACCTCAAAGGGTTATGAGGATCAAATGAGAAGATCTATCCATATATAAAGGGCTGGTCCTCTGCCAATGCCAATAAATATTAGGTTTATAGTTCTTCAGCATAATTCGGTCATTTTGAGAATGCCACAGCATCTTCCTAATAAGCCTATTTAACGATGCTAATCTCATCTTACAATACTCAAGAGTCTCTCTATGTCAGTCAGGAGATAGTGGGTCAGAATGTACCCAAATCCTGGTAGCCTGACCTAACAGGGATTTATTTACTGCTCATACAAAGTCCATTTCGAATCCCAGCAACTCTCTAAAATAACTTTTCTCCATGAGGTTACTCAGTGTTCATGACTTTGCTCTGTCATCTGGAGGCTTTGTGGGTCTTCGGTAGGGAGTGAAAGTGAGGGAGAGGTATAGGAAGAAGAAAAGAGGGATTCAGGGCCGCCCATTGTTGATTTCATCCTGGGAGTTCCAGCCATCACATCTTCCTGTAGCCTTACTGGCCAAAGCTGGTAACAAGGCTGCCCCTAAAAGCAAGAATACAGAAAGAAGGGGGAGTAGATAGAGTGAGACGTGATCACCACTTTCTCTGCCACACTCTTCTTTACCGTCAGAATCAAAACAAAATCTCCATAGTGCCATACCTTTTACCTTGCAATCTCCCTGTCCTCTTATTTCCCACCATTTTTCACCTTCTGTTTTGAAATACTTTTTTCGAAATACTAATTTTTGAGGCATATCATGACCTATCACACATCTATGCCTTTGCCGTAATCACCCTACCTGGATGCTGTCTTTCTATTGGTCTGCTTGACAATCTCCTATGAATCTTTGAAGCCTTAGTCCCTTTGAGGGCTCTGTTTTAGAGATGATAAATTTTTGTGACAAATAGATAAAGAAGATTTCATCACTTTCACATAACCACTCCCCTGCCATTCTTTACTCCCACAGGTGGTGTTTGCACTCAAAGTCTTTACCATCATTAGTTTTAAGCCATACTTCACCGTGACCTTAATAAAAATTTAAAGACCATATAACATACATTATCCTGTAGCAGTGTTAATTAGTTTTCTATATGACATCATCTCTGCTCCTGGGATTCTTTATGGCCATCATATATTTCAAAGAAAAGACTTAGCCATTTTCTACATAACTATGTAAAATTCTGTTTAGTTTGCCAGTTACAACAAAAGAAATATATCCTCTGAAAGATCACTGTGAATTTGTAATACCAAAATAAGTATAGAATAATATTTAGAGAATATTATCTCTTTCAAATAAATATGAAAACTTATTTCAAATAAATATAAAAATATATTAACTTTTCATAATTAAGACTGATGTAATCCATTTGAATCATGTTCCATTGGGTCATTTTAGAAGATTTTAATGTTGTGGACACTTTCTAAGATTTGTATTCAAGTACAACATCAGACATACATATTATGTTGTCAACTTTTGCCTTTAACTCAACATGCCAGACCTCTGAAAATATGTATTAGTCTTCATGGTGTTCACTTGGTACATATACTTAGGAATACAGCTGAAATTTTTAGTTCTCTTCCAGTGTTTTGGCACTTTATGACCACAGCTTCATTCTTCAAACTCAAGTTAAGTTGTCTTGGAAAAAAAGACAATACAATTGACCAGAGATATAAAATAACTTTTTGAAAATCATTCAAGCAATATTTCAGATAGTCTGAGTAGTATCATTAGAAATGTATGCAGTTACAACTATGGACTTAGTATGTACTATGTCCAGAGTAGGGTTATCAAAAATTAAAAAACATATCATATTTTTCATCTGGTTCATATCAGCTCGACCTGTTTTTCTGCTTTTTTGTAAGTTCCTCAAGGCAAAGAGAGACCTGTTTCTTCCCTGTGGGTATGAACCTTCTTGTAGCACCTTGAGTATATTAAACATAATGATTTTCTGAGGGCACACAGATAATTTAACCAACTAAATAAATGTAGTCTTCCTACTTTCCACAGAAAATTTCAACATATGGTCCTCATTACCCCAAGAGGTGATACAAACAAAACACATAATTATATTCAAAAGGATGCGGAGGAATAAATGGAAGCCAGAGAATGTCATATGTAATCCTTAGAGTTCACATAAGTGACAGGGAAGATGGGTTGGTGGTATCTTTATTTGAATCCCTACTAGGTTGCAAGTTCCTTGATGGCAAAGAATCTGACAAATGACATCCATTTATTCTTTCTACAAGTATTTATGGTGTACCCATGTGTTTAGCAATGCCCTGAGTAAATAAATGCTTAATTAACATTTCTATATCCTATAATACATCAAAAGGAGTTAGAGTTGTTTTTCTAGTGGGGGTGAAGACTTTGACATGCTTTAATCTCCTCCTACCTTTACTGTCAATAGCACAGATGGCAAGTAGCTAGTTGCCTGGGGTGTGGATTGGAGCCATGCTTGTGAATCAGAAATCAAGTGAATGGATCCAACAGGAAATACCCCTCATGAGCAGCAACCTGCTTTAACCCATCAGACTTCCCATCCATACATACAAAAGTGACACTGGTGACTAACCCAATGAAAAGGCATGAGCAAGTGTCAAGGTGACCTCATGTCTAACATGACTACCCTGTCCTGCCCCAGTATATAAAATTCATTACTAATGTAATGTCTTTGTGGTCAGATAAAGAAATGTGCAATGATTTTTTTTAAATGAAGGGTTGAATAGCCACTGAGAACAAAATACCAAAAATTGGTTTGTTCAATTTTGTTTTAAAGTTCCCAGGAACACACATTTATATGGACCATACAAGTATTGCCAGGGGTGAGATTTAGTGCCCTTCCTGTTGATCCAAAGGGAAATTGCCCCGCAGTGGAAACAAGGCTCTAGAACTTGTTAATGAATTAAACCCTATTGATTAGTGGAAGAAAAGGTTTAGATTTGAAGACTAGTATAGCAGCCCCAAAAGGGAGAAAGCCCACAATAATTAGTTTGAACAGTTTTTGTTGTTTGCGTTTTAGGTATCAGATCAATAAAGCAACATTAATAATTAAAGACCGGGATAAATATACCAATTCCAGATTAGAGCTTTGAGCTTTAAATTGCTTATGCCAAAGGCTTTTTTTATAGGCTCTAATCTTTCCAGATGTACTGAAGGGCTATAATGTGACTTCTTAAGCTATAGATTTGGTGAGAAATACGAGGGTCCTCTCAGTGAGGGCTGCTGAGAAGTCCAAGAGCCATCCCCCTACGGGTCTGTAACAAAAAGGGATAGGCACGTCTCATTTAGAAGAGGGGTGTCTCTCTTTTATTCTTCATAATCAGGTTAGTGGCTCATAAAACAATGAGGAGGAGTAGAGCTTTCTGTGCATTAGAGGCTAACTGAAATTCTACCTTGAGAGGCCAAAGCTTGCATGAGAAGAAGGAAAGATATGATGAAGACTTGACTGGGAAAGTTCTGCTGCAGCTCAAATTCTGTGCGATATTGTGTAGAATTTGGAGATGCAATAAAAAGACAAATCCTACCAAGAACAATTCATAACCAGCTGGGAGAATATTAGGAAGTGGTGCTTGACATCTGCAAAGTCTTATGACCATCCCTAAAACTGGGGCAATGAAATATGAGACCAGCGATGCTCATTATGGGTCTTTAGTCAGAAGCAGATGGGCACTGATTTCAGTATATCAAATAGCCACACCCCATGAGGGAAGAGGACTGAAACTTCAACAGGTCAGTACGTGTGGGGACAGTCTCTGTCATGAAGAGCCAGTCCTGTCTGGATCCACATTTCCTGTGAAGCCTTCTGGATGGATTTCCTGAGGAGCTCTTCCCATCGGGAAGGAAGTTGACTATGTCCACATTAGTCTGGCCTCAGGCCAGGTACATCTCATACTTAAAAATAAAAGATACACCCACATCCACCACTACTTCATGTCCTTCCCATTCTTTCTGGCTCTCATTTTGTTGTTTAATTCTCTCATTGTCTGGATTTTTTTTTCTACTAGCCGCACATTGGTTGTCCCTGTACTGTTTCTCATGACCAGTATTGTGTTTGTTCCTCAGGTATGTGAGGTGTCTCTTTAAATCAATATCTTTAGTTTTCTCATTCTGTTTTTTTATGTCTTCTAATGTAAGGGTCCCTAATTGCTATGATTTCTTCATTCTTAGTTTTTCTATGTCTTTCATTAAATTTGATCACAGCTAGGAACATTTTTCTTATATAGACTCATGAAATCTTCAGGTAGAAAGCAATTTGGAGATTATGTATACCTCTGAAGGTTATTTCATCACACGTCTCTCCTTTCCCTGCCTCCAGCATGATATTCCTCTTGCAAAAAGTTCCCCTTGTTCTATCAGAAGTAATGCATACTAATATCTTCCCTTGGAGAGTCTCAGTGCCCAAGAGTCTATGACATGCTTGCCTGAATTTAATGTTTCCCAAACTTACCTGGCCAGAAAACTATCTTCTCTTTATTTATTCTCTAATAACTATTAGTATCTTATAACAATATTTTGACAAGCACTGTGAGGGTTGGTGATTTAACCCATCACCTCTGTTCAGCAAAGTCTTTCTCTCTTCAACACTCTGATAGATCATCATTCACAGCCAGTTTGATGTCTCAAGTGATGCAGAGCTCACTGGCTCTGAAGGCAGGCTCACTCCATTGAGAGAATAATTGCTGGACTACTGTACCTTGCATCTTTTCACCAATATTGACACCTTTGGTTTTAATTCTGCAGCTTACTGTTGACAGAACAGCATCTCAAGATAGTTCTTATATCTCTCTTCAGCCTTTAGTTCTTTCATCCCATGTGCCATCCTGAGGCCTATCTATGAACATTTTTTCCACACATTTTTAGCATGTCCAAATACTTCTGAAGATTTAAAAGGCAAGCAGAGTCTTTTTTTGATCACCCCTATTTCTAGAATGTCTGTCCTAAGTTCAAAAACAGGAATTTTCTTATTTCTGTCACTTTGAGATCTTGAGAAATTAATTCATTGAATTGATTAACCAAGGGAGCCTCTCTTCCTCTGCATGTCACACCTGCTAATTTTTCTTGCATAGAAATCAAGCTCTTTCTTAAAAAGAAAACATATATTTCAGACTGCTAGTTGGTCTATTTAATTACACCATCTTCTACCCTACATACCTGGTCTTAATAATTGGTTTAATGATATATCATATTTATTTTTCCTTCTAATCTTTATACAATTTGCTAATAGGAAAAAATACTTCATACCACCTTTTCTACCGCATACCAGGTATCTACCTCACCTTTATAAAGTCTCTGATTTAAGTGTTCATTTTTGGGAGCCTTCCCATTCACAAACTAATCCTAATCCACAAGTGTTTAATTCACCCATACAGTCCTCCCTCTTTGCTGAGTCCCATTTCTGCATATTGACCTGACACTGAGATTTTTAGTTCTGAAAGTATCACAGTTACACCCTGACCATGAGAATCATGTACTGGCTAATAGTGAATAAATGTTAGCATTGGCCAGGGAGCACTTGGCTAAGTGTTTTACATATGCCGGTTTA